GGTTTTAGGTTGGTCAAGGATTGGTACTGGTTGGCGGAGGGTTAGTTAAGGGTGGGTTAGTTCAGAGTGAGGTTAGTCTGGGTTTGCGGGTAGCCCGTGGATGTCCGCATGCGCGGGGACGTCAGGGGTTTTGGGGGGAAGGGGCTGGGACTGCGGGATGCCCTCAGGGTGGGGGGGAGGAGGGGTGTGGGCAAGCGAGCCTGGGACCGGAGACATGCACGTTGATCCCAGAGCCCAAACTTCATGCGGCACTTCCCTTGTTTGTGGTGGGAGCTGTGTCTTGGATCTCTCATTCGCCCAGCCAATGCGGGCGCTGCCAATTTCCCATTAAAAGCGGTGCGACTGGCAGGCTTTGCCAGGGACATTCCCCTTTTCCCTTCAACAAATGGTTCTTGCGACCAGACAGCGGCTTTGCCTGGCGTGCCGTGTTTTTTTTCTTGTGGCGTGACTGACCCATGGCTTTCGGGCTCGATCTTCGGCCAGGTTCTGCCTGCGGATCATCAACCGTCAAAAGCGGCTCTGCTTTCTTTTGGGGGGGGGAGCGGGGACTCCGCGGGCCGGGGCCTCCACATTGTGGTTACCACCATTGTTCAAACACGACCTGCTGTTGGTTCCCGGAAAATGGGGGGACCAAAGGAGATCCCAATCCCAAGCATGGAAGATGTGCATGGAACTAAGCCAGTTAGGGCATATATGTCAAATTATGGCCACCCTAAACGTGGATTTATTCTTGGATTCCGTTTAAGGCAATGCTGAAAAGAACCCTCCGGGGGAAAAACAACAAATCCCATGTGGGTGTCTCTCTCTCTCTCTCTCTCTCTCTCTCTCTCTCTCTCTCTCTCTCTCTCTCTCTCTCTTTTGAGGATACCACATGTTTGCGGTTTATTCACAAGTCGTTGGCACTTCGTGTCTTGCCAACGGCTCAAAAACCCCTCCAGGTTTTCAGTTGATTTCTGGCGGCCTGTCGGGCCAGTCCGCGAAAACGGTCATCCTGTGGTGCATCTCAACGTTGATTTGGAAGGGTTCCCACCTTGTCCCTCAAGGTGTTTAAATCACTGGCCCTGAAGAAAAGGGGTCGGTTCATATTAAAGCAACCCTAGAGAAAGAGAACAGAAGGCTGGGTCCAATCCTTGACTGACATTACACAAATGGGTTCTGGAGTTTGGGTGACGCGTGGGCTTGTGACGTGGGGGAACACCCAACATGCCAAGTTTCTTTGGTTCCCTTTTTCTCAACCCAGACAAGGTATCTGGCAAAAAAGGCCATCAACATCAAACTGGCTGCCCACTTCTGTGGATCCGCGTGGTCCCGGGTTTAGGCGGATCGATCCCCTCAAATGGTCGGGGATTTAAATCTGGGCGACATCTTGATTTTTGGGCTCAAACGGGTTTCCTTTTGAAGGATCCATGACCTACTTGCTCCAATCACTCATCATTTTTTTGTTTTTTAAGCATCCTTCTTTCGGTTTCCTGTAAAACAGAAGAACACCTGAGAACACGCCCCACGCGACCGTTTGCGCGAAGAGAAAGCCCGAGGCTGGCAAAGCCCAGCTCGGAGTGTGTGCACCCCGGCCTGGTGGAGAGCTTCCGCTTCTGCGACGAGCTCGTGAGCGCTTCGAGCGCGGCTTGGCTTTGGGAGTGCCCCGAATTTCTGAAGACTTTGGTAGGCAAAGGATACTCCCTTTGCATTGGTCAGCTTGTTTGCTTTCCATGGGGAAGCGGCTGCCCCATTTTGGGTTTGCCCCTGCTTTGGGCAGACCCCTCGGCTGGCCTTGAACCACCATCCAGACGTAGTGCGGATGAGATCGGGCTCCTTTTGTTGGTAGGGTTGCTTTTTCTGCAAGTTGCTCAGTTAGCGCAAGGGATACAGCGTTTGAGTGCCAGGCATGGTGGAGCCAGCTTTTCGAACCACTGCAGTCTTTGTTGGGCATTCGTCACTATCATGACGCGGGTTCTCAAATCATGAAGGCCTTTTGGCGGGAGACCAGGCGCCAACTTGTTGGGAGCCGAATGCTTGATGGACCTCAGGTCCATTTCCATTTTTCACAGTCCGGGGGAGCCAAAAAGCGCAGCCTGCCAACGGTTTTCGCCTCAAGGTTTCTTTTTTTGGCTCAGTGGGTTCCTTCCGGCACCATGGAGCCTACTCCGCCGATGCTGGCGATGCCGGGCACGCGACCCCCGCGCGTGTGCCCACGGACGCAGGCGTCCTTGGCGGAAGACCGTCGCAGGTCGAACGATTCCCAGGACTCGCCGGGGGGCAAAGCCAAAGATTGAAGCCAAACAACTGGGTGAATTATAACGACCTCACACGACCTCACCCCAAATGGTGGCTTATGTGGGGAATAGCCGCCCAACTACCTTATTTCAGGCTGGTGAAATATTATAATTCACCCAGAAAAAGGGGTCGCGACTGTTTGCCGGGTTGCAGCCGGATCGCCCCATTGCAAGGAGTCGGCACTTCCCACGAGAAGGCCCTCTTTGCAGTCGCTGGTGGACGAACGGCGCGAACGACGAGAAAGCCGGCTGCTCCAAGCACTGCAGTGGGCAACGGAGAATGGTGAGACCGTATGAATGTCCAAGGAGGACTTCCATTTGGTCAAGAGTATCTTTTTATTCTGCCTTGTTCGTTTTAAAGGGAATCTATCACTACTGGAAATATTATGTCTTTTTCTCCAGGGGGATTAACCAAATGGAAGAGGAGAGTGTCGAACGTACAAGTCTTTGGCAACTCTTGGATTTCAGTGTTGAGCTTTATATGAGTACAGGCCAACAAGTAGCGCAGCAAAGCTGCCTTAGGCACGTCTTGGACGGGGTCGGGCGATGGCAAAAGCTGATGGACACCTTTTCCTCGTAAGAAAACCAGAGCATGTTTGCCTTGGTTCATGGCTTTCAGCTTGCCCAACGTGATGGCCTGACTTTGGAGTTCCTCACTCCGCTTTCAGATCTCTGAGCGGACTCGACCCGAAGAGTGAACAGGCTGTGTCACATTGAGCTTGAGAATCCCGGATTTTGCGGACACACGCGGGATGTCCGTTGTTTCAGTTTTAGGTAGGCAGAGCTTCAAGAGTCTCTTATGCAGTTTCTTTGAGCTGAGCCTTTCCTTTGCCGGACAGTGACAACGGCTGTGCGTGCCTGGCGCCAAGAGATCTCGAATCGTTTCTGACGAGATCGCGGAGAAGAGAAGCGCGTGTCGTTGGCAAAATGATGCGTCATGACCCCAAAGAAGCATGGGATATGGGCAATTCATATCAACCTGGCGAAGGGGTTTCTTGCTCTCTTATGTCAGCATTGTGCATCATTGTAGTTCAGCCTATATGACAGGGGTTTTTGTTTTCGAATGGCACGCCAATATGGCTGGGTTCACCCCCCCTCCTCCTCTGAGCTCAACATATTGGGGAGCAGAACGGGTGTGTCTTAAAGTAGACCCCCGAAATCCTGGGCCCTAGGGATTTGTGCTGTTAACGGGAAGTCGAGGGGCAAACACCGCCCTTTGGCTGTTCCCGGATCTTGAGACAAACCCAAATGAGGCCCAATTCAGACTCAATAAATTCCTGGCCAAGGCGGAGTTTCTTCCTTTTGGGTCACTTAACTGCCCCCCTTCTTTTTGGCAGGGACGTTTGGGTACGCCTGTTGTTTCGTGCTGGTGATGTGGCAACTTTTTGGCTACGGACAACCAGCAGAAAACAGCCTATGTGGGGGTTGCCCCATTCCTCCTGGTTGGCCGTGAACCACCATCCGAACGTAGATTCGCCGCCATGATCGAACTCCACAAGACCGTGGATTGGCAGTTGACGATTTCCTTTGCGCTGAGAAGCGGCCCTTTGGGACCATGAAGACCCTTGGACCATGGATCGTGAGAAAAACGTGGCAAATCCGAAGCCTCTTGATAATAGATGATAAGCGACATGGAACCGGCACAACATGGAATTCGGGTCGGTGATATGTAGTCATTAGTGCAGATGACGAGCTCGGGCTTGCATTGTTGGCAACACAATCGTTCTTGCAAGTTGCTATGTTTCTACTCCTTTGGTTTTCAGGGGATACCAGCTTTTTGAACAACTCCACGTTGTACTGCAGACTTTTCGGGGGGGCATTCGCCATGACGCGAGGGTTTCTCAAAATTGTGAAGCCCTTTTGGTCGACCAGGGCGAAGAAACCTCTGACCGAGCCCGAAGAGAGGTTACCAGGCAACCTCCTCCCTTGTGAGATTTCTTCCCATCGCACAAGTGGCTACAATTTTTGCAACCCAGGATATGGGTAGGTGTCTTCTTGGACGTTCCTCCTTCTAGGGGCTGTTAGAGCCCCAAAAGGGATTTGAAGGATGGAACCCGACACCCGAGCGGATGATGAACATTTAGATCAACCACCACTAAGATGGTCGGAATTCTGTCGACTGTTAGCGGTTGTTCGCTTTGGGCACTCTCAGCTACTGCGGGCCAGCCCAACTTGCTGCCTGTCGGCTTGGCTAAGGCGATAGACATGAAGCGAATACGAAGCGGAGCAGCAAAACGGGCGCTCTGCACTTTTCAAATTTCGGCGCTTCGCCGAAAGAGGGGCGATTCCTGGGAGAAGTCTCAAGAGGGGGGGTCCTCTTTGGGTTTTCCCACTGGGTCCAAGTGGGGAATCGAAGTGCCGACTTTGCTTGGACCTTGGGGATTCCTTTTGAACCAATGTCCTGTCCTGTATCTCTTGTCAGTCACTTCTTGCGCCAGAAGGGAATGCCAAGAGGGCGGCATGAACCATGCGGAATGGACCACAATGGGAGAATTGGGGATAGAACCCTTACAGACAAATATGTCCCTTTTTGGGCAGCCTACACATCGCCTTCTCTGCAAACTTGCGTTCAGCCTCATTTTGTTACCAGGAGGGTTTCTTTTTTGTTTTTTAAAGGCAACATTTACAGAACCCTTATGCGTCAGGCAGAGAAACCCTTGGTGGTTGACCATGTTGTATCCCCAATCGAGCCGTAGCCGTGTTTTTTTTTCGCCGGCGCCATGCAAGGAGCTAGCAAATAACGCGGGCCGCCTGGCGCGTACGCACTGGCCTGCTTGGCTTCGGAGTTTTTGGTCAAGCTCTGATGTATTTGGGTCGATGTCTAGGTCCCCCAGTAGTGCCCTTTTACCATTTCTTGTATGGGGGAGATTCGGTTCCCCAGCTAAAATAGACTACAGGAAAAAGAGGGGTGCCCTTATTCTAACCTCTCTACTGGACCTAGATGTGCTTCATGGAACCATCCCTCTTGGGCTGCTCAAATGTGAAATAGGACTCCCCCCAAAAAATCAATATCCGTCAAGGTATTCGGCCTTTTTCGGCCCTACGAATTTGTTGGAGGGTCTTTGCGGGGGGTGGTGCCTAGAGCCTTTTAATCAGCGTGATGCGTTTCGGGTTGCATAATGATTTTGGGAAAGCAATTGAACCGGGGAACGACATGTGCTTGAATGCCCACCCCAGTTACCAAATGATCCATACCCGCAAGCCCCCGAAGTAGCATGCTCCCTTATACGCGATTCAGGCCAGGGACTTGCTAACCGGTGATTAGCGGTTGTCATTCAAGTATGAATAGGGGGTACTCAAGGCAACCCGAAGACTTGAACATGGGTGGCATGTTCAAAGCTCCTCATCTGACGTCATGGTCATGGTTCCTCGAATGAACAACGCTGGTTATTTGTGGAATCCCTGTACAAGGATTGATGACCATCCTTACAAGACATTCCCGCAATTTGCTTGCGGATCTTCTGAAGCCAACTTCTTACAGCAAATGCAAGATAGGCAACCAGGTGTCTTGGCAGCGCGTGTTGACCCGAGAAATCAACACTTGAATACACAATCTAGCTAGGACGGTGGTTCACTATCCCTCATGAAGTTCCTCAAGTTGGCTCCATGAGCCGTAGTACGCTGAGTCCTTCTCGATTTTCTGCTGGCTTTCGGGGATATCGCTTGCCAGGGGGAGACATCCAACGTTTTTTTTTTTTTTTTTTCCCACTGGTCCGCTTTGGAAGTGTCGCTGTTGTCTTCCAAAATGGACTGATGGCGCGTTGGCTTTTCTCAATGGGCGGATCTGCCGAAAAGTCGGCATCGCCAGGCAGTACCTCCTGCGCCGCTTTGATCCAGGAGCGGAAGGCACACTAGCCCAGGGTTGGGAAGCGGCTTTGGCTCAAAAAGGATCCAGAAGCACCGCAGATTTGGGTTCTGTGGCCGCAAACTGGGGGTTGGCGGTACCCTTTTGAACCACAGCCAAGTGGGTTTGGCCAAGGTGTGTTCAGACCATTGCACAAGCAATTGATGGCGAGTGCACAGACATCCGCTTTCAGTATGGGAAGAGGTGGGTTTTCCGCTGTCGGTTGACATGTGGGACCCCAGGATTGGCCGAGCCAGGGAGGGGAGTCGGCAGTGACACGAGCACTGAGGGGTGCTAGATGGGTATGTGATTTTTGCGTTGGTACCTCTTCTGGATTTTTGCTGGGTTTGAAGGCAGGGTTTAAAGGACACCAACAGGGAACTCACACATGTTGCGGGTTTGCGGCTTCGGCATGTTGAGCCAAGTTTGCAAAAACCATAGAGTCCCTCTCCTGGTTCGTAAGCCCGCCCTTTTTAGCATCCTCCCCTACATGCGATTCAGGGACTTGCTAGCCTGGGATGATCAGCCAATAATTTTGTCAAGTAGTAGACATGGTTGTCGTTGGGAAACATTTTATATTTTTGCTTATTGTGGTTTAGTGGGAAATCCCCACTTAACTGCTAAAAAATAGATTTTTGCTGCCCTTCCAACGTCAACCAAGTAGAAAGGGGTACGTTCAAAGCTCCTCATGCGACGTCTCCTACGGTAATCCCTATGCAAGGGTTGACAACCATCCTTACAAGACATTGTCGCAACTTGTGTACGGTTCTACACAACAAATACGCGTTTTTCAGAAAGGACCGTTGAAGCCAACTGGATAGTGCAACATACAAGCTCCTACAAATACGCAAATACGAGATACTCATTCAGGTGTTTTGACAGTCGCACATGTTGCCCGCAACAATCACCGGCTGGATGGTCATCCTCATGAAGTTTCCTAAGACCCACTCAAGCCGCGATTTTTATATATATTTTTCGACCGTCCACTTGAGAAGTGTTTTTTCTTCTTTTTTTTTTCCGGAAGTCCCAGAAGTCCCCCTACTATGCAGGTTGCACGTATTTGAAAGTGTGGGCTTTGAATTCCTCAAACGCTGCGGCCTTCCCCAATCAGCTAAGTGTGGTGCTCCTCTTGAACAATTACTCTTGAGCTGCCAATTTCGTTTCTTCTCAGTTTGGTGATGCTTCAAAGGAGATAGAGTAGGGATTCCTTCGAGAGGCCTCCATGTCGGTGCGAGGGTCAATCATGGGAACCCTGTTGGATGCTGCTAAAAGCGGAAGCGAAAGAAAGCCACCAAATTTAAGGCGGCCTGTTTTTTTGGGAAGCACCCCGAAATGACCCTCTTTTTTGGTTAGTGAAGGATTGCAAAACCCTTCTCCTGTCAGATGTGCTCACACGGATCATCCTCGAGGGGAACTTTCCGCCTTTGTGGCTTTGCTAGGGCCTCGTCAGAAGACTGTCCGAGTATTCGTCTCTTTTTAAGCCAGAGTGCATCCCCCAAGAGCAGCCCAAGAGAAGAGTGAAAGGTTTACAGCTCAGTACATCTTGACGAGGGTCAAGTCGGCCCCAATGTATGCTCGTCAGCCAAAGTGTCCATTGCTGGAAGGGAACTCGCGGTGAGTTCGTTTGAGACACCAGGCCTGAGAGCATTGTGCGCATCCGTACATGTGACAGGACAAGAGCACTCGTCCCTTCTGTCCCAAGTGGGGAAAATCAAAAGGTTCGGGGTTTCTTGGGTTCCAGGGTCCCGTTTTAGAGGGGACTCTGAGACTCTGCGCTTGTGGGGTCCAGGCAAATTCAAAGCCGTGCCGCCCTCATGAAACGAGTGGTGGCTCTAGATATCCTCAGTTCGTCTTTGGAACCCGAAACTGCAGTTTAGAAAAGTCTTGTCCGGCGAGTTTATACATCATTGGGCTGGCTTTTGTTATGCCCTTATGCAAATGTGTGTCCCTTCAATGCGACTGCCTTGGTCTGCCACATTGCCGTTTGAATTCTTCGGCACGGCTTATATACACCAGCTTACAAACCCTTGTACCAGATGGAAACTTGCGAAGGCTAGCGCCTTATCAAACATTTGGAAAGCTTTTTGAGACTTTGTGGGAGGTTCCCCCGTGCGCGTGACTCCTGGCAGCGCGTCCCTGGAGGTCAGTGTTGAAGCCTCGCCTCTTACCAAGCAAAGGAGCCGAAGCTGCGGGTGAACTAGCTGCTAGCTGGGTGGGAATGAGGGGATGGACCCCACTGCGATACTTGGGCACCTTTTCCTGACCCCGGCCCGAGGCTGCCTCAACCAATCGTATCCATGTCAGTGGCAAAAGGACTTCTGAAAACATGGAAACCCTAAAGTTCCCTCGCCTAGTCTACGGCTTGCAATCCTTCGGACTCCAGCCGCCACCGGCTCCTATTTCAATGCCTGAACCAGGGTGCCCCCCCAGGATTCAGAGGATGGTGAGGTGACCAAACGGTACCGCGTCAAGTGTCGATACAATAGGCACCCCAGTGTGTTCAAACATATTCTCAGATTCAGGGCACGAAATTGCCCTTACCGTGCTTCATGTTCTTGTTTGGGCAGCCTGAGTGTTTGCTTGATCCAAGTCTAGGGACACCAACGGCAAACGGGCCATTAAACAAAACACAAGTAGACAAAGAGCGCCCGAACTTGTAGATCCTCTCAGGGGAAATGTTTATAAGCCACAGGGCACCAAAAATTTGCTAATGTTGAAACGCATGTGGAAACATGCACTGTGTTTGAAATGCTTGACCATAATGGCCCCGGCCATTTTGGCTCAAGCTTGGATCTTGGGTTCTCTGAACCCAACTTTGTGAAAAAATTGAGGGGAGTCACTTCCGAACCAACCCCGAACCAGCAATGGCCTCCTCGGCGACTTCGGCAACTTCCTTCGAGTTGATTGAGGACCAGGCACTCACCGCGGAGGAGGTGGAAATGGCCAGCCAGGAGGCCCAGGAAGTCCGCACACGCGAGGCGGCTGTGGCGGCCGGCCTGGTGTTGGATGAGCCCGAGGCGCCCCCGTCGGCATCGGCCACCGATGTGATGAACGACCTCTCCAGTGCACTGGAGCGGCTCCGTGTGGCCTTCTCCACACCGACTCCCGGCCTGGGTGCCCCTGGCCCCGCCGAGGACGAGGACAAGGAGATGGGCGATGCGGTCACCACGGAGCGGGCTACTCCACCAACGAAGAGGCTGAAGGGCTTCGTGGCGGCCTCCCAGAAGACCACGGCCCCGGTGAACAAACCGGTCTCCCTGGTGCCGGTGGATGGCCGTCCTGGCTATTTCAAGCTAGTGGACCTCCCAGACCTCTTCCCGGTCCTTCCGGCATCGGCGGCCACGTTGCTGAGGGACGTCACGGTGGAGGAGGCGGTCTCCCTGTTCCACAAGTTTGTCGGTAAGAATCTCACGGAGGACTTGGTGGTTCGCATCCTGGAGGCCTATGTTCCGATGAAGATCCAGATCCGGCAGGAGGAGGTCTGGGCCTCACAGTTCCAGCGGAATAAGGCATGCATTGGCACCCAGCGGATGCACAGACTCGATGCCGGCCACTCGGACTACAAATTCATGTGTAAGGCATGCGGCACGGGGTGGCCGGAGGCAGCCAATCAATGCTGGGTCTGCCCGGGCAAGGAGTGGATCCAGCAGCGGGATGGGGGAAGCCTGGGTGCCGCTGGCCCCGGTGGTACCCGCGCACAGGCAGACCGCAACCTGGTGGACGGCACGATCCTGGGGAGAGCTCCTCCGAAAACGGACACGGCAGAGAAGATCACCATGGCTGACGTGGTCCCGCTTAACAGGCGGGTGGACATCCGGCAGGAGATCCTGTCCATGGAGGCGGACGATGAGGCGTTGAAGGTCCGGGAGCGCCAGGAGGTCAAGGTCAAG